AGGATGTGGGGAAAAGGGTACACTTGTACATTGCTGGTGGGACTGCAAATTGGTGCAGCCAATTTGGAAAGCAGTATGGAGATTTCTTGGAAAGCTGGGAATGGAACCACCATTTGACCCAGCTATTCCCCTTCTCGGTCTATTCCCTAAAGACCTAAAAAGAGCATGCTACAGGGACACTGCTACATCGATGTTCATAGCAGCACAATTCACAATAGCAAGACTGTGGAACCAACCTAGATGCCCTTCAATAGACGAATGGATAAAAAAAAATGTGGCATTTATACACAATGGAGTATTACTCTGCATTAAAAAATGACAAAATCATAGAATTTGCAGGGAAATGGATGGCATTAGAGCAGATTATGCTAAGTGAAGCTAGCCAATCCCTAAAAAACAAATGCCAAATGTCTTCTTTGATATAAGGAGAGTAACTAAGAACAGAGTAGGGACGAAGAGCATGAGAAGAAGATTAACATTAAACTGGGATGAGAGGTGGGAGGGAAAGGGAGAGAGAAGGGAAATTGCATGGAAATGGAAGGAGACCCTCAGGGTTATACAAAATTTCATACAAGAGGAAGTGAGGGGAAAGGGGAAAATAATACAAGAGGGAGAAATGAATGACAGTAGAGGGGGTAGAGAGAGAAGAGGGGAGGGGAGGGGAGGGGATGGGGGATAGTAGAGGATAGGAAAGGCAGCAGAATACAACAGACACTAGTATGGCAATATGAAAATCAATGGATGTGTAACTGATGTGATTCTGCAATCTGTATACGGGGTAAAAATGGGAGTTCCTAACCCACTTGAATCAAAGTGTGAAATATGATATATCAAGAACTATGTAATGTTTTGAACAACCAACAATAAAAAAAATTAAAAATAAATAAATAAATAAAAAGTCTCAGGGGTTGAGAGTGTAGCTTAGTGGCAAAGCATATCCAAGGCCCTGGGTTTGATTCTTAACACATAACATGCATGCATATAAATATATGCAAACGTTTTAGGATCACTTGAGTCTCTCTATTGCTAGACTCTGTATGCTACTTCAGATACTGGATTTACATGATTCCTCATTGTGGAATTGACATAATATCTCATCTCTTTTCTTTTGAACACCATATTGTCCACTATAGTAGTATCTACTACTACATCCTCCCTTGTCTTCCTAGAGCTCATCTAATTGGGGAGAGGAAATAATAAAAATATAAATAAACACGAATATAAGATTGAATTGTACATACAAATTTGTTTTGGGCCAGGGATAGAACCCAGGTGCATTTAATCACTGGCCATACTCCAAGCCCTTTTTATGTTTTATTTTGAGACACAGTCTCACTAAGTTGCTTAGGGCCTCACTAAATTAACTGAGGCAAGCTTTGAACTTGTGATCCTCTTGCCTTGGCCTCCTGAGTCACTGGATTATAGCCATGCACCATGATACCCAGCTGTATAAACAAATTTAAATCAGTATAAAATTTTACAGAAATTTCAAGAGAGGCCACATGCCACCCAGAGATGCAGATCATACCATCTGTGCAATGGCCAGTGATAATCTTCCCAGAGGCTTTTTGCAAACTGACCCCATGTGTAAGCACCCCCTTAAGGCTCAAAATTTGACTCTGTCTTCACTAAGAGAGAACTTACTTCTTTTCTTCCGAGAAGTCTCACCTTATAGATGCTACAGGACTGACCCCAACACAGATTGCCAGAAAATGACCTGATAGTAAGAAATACTTCTGCTCCACAAACAGAACATCTGTCTACACCACAAGGGAATTGCTTCTCTGTAGAGAGGCCTCTGAGGCATACTTAAGCCCAACTGGAAAGCTACTTGGTGAGAATAGAATTAGAACAAAAGGGCTAAGGTAGATAGATCCATTTCTCCTCTCCTGGCCAGGGGTTGTCCGGCCAGTGAAACTGACTCCACACCTGCCCAGGGATCCATTGCTACTCTCGCAAAATGTTAGGATGGGCACTATTCAAACCAGTTTCTTTCTTTTTTTTTAAATATTTTTTATTGTTGATGGACTTTATTGTCTTTATTTTTATGTGGTGCTGAGGTTCGAACCCAGTGCCTCATGCATGCTAGGCGAGGACGCTACCACTGAGCCACAACCCCAGCTCTCAAACCAGTTTCTTTCTTCTCTTTTCTGTGCTTTTACTACTGACCAGCTCTCCTGTAGATATATTTTTCTTTTCTTTTTTTGGTACTGGGGATTGAACCCAGCCTACTCTAGCTACTCAGCCCTTTCATTTTTTTATTTTGAGAAAGGGTCTTGCTAAGTTGCCCAGACTGGCCTCAAATTTGCCATCTCCCTGCTTCAGACTCCTAAGTCACTGGCAGTATAGGTGTGTGCCATCACTCCTGGCCTGGACCTATTTTTCTGTAGATATGTAATATACTCAGTCAGGTTTCTATTCAAGTCTGAGCCATCTGATCCTTATATATCTCTGTTCCACTCCATTAATGGAACAGAGATGTTGGTGTTTCTCTCTCCTATAGTCATCTTTTAAAAAATTGTTTACCAAAAATTTAAATTATGAGGGGAGGGACAAAGCTTCACAATCACCTCAAGAAATGGAAACAAATCTCATAGTTGGCATAGGTCCAGGAGAACTGGGGTATTCAGAGAAGGCTTTGTAAAGAAAGATGAACTTGAATTGGTTTTTGACAGATTCATAAAACTTCCACAGACATGGCAAAGTAAGGGAATTTTAGATAGGCAAGGAATGAGCATGGTGTGACGGGTATATGGAGAGGCTGCTCTGGCTGGAATGGAGGACTGCTATTACAGTAGAAAAGGCAAACTAGCTAAGTTGGATGGTTGAATTGGGAGGGTAGAATCAAGATTGTCAGCTTCTTAAATGACTCTTAATATTCTAAACCTGCCTATTGAGAAAAGTAATAAACCATCATGTAAGCAAACAGAAGGTAAACAGAAGCCAGAGCCAGGAATATACTATTATCACTAGGACCTGCTCTGGAGTAACCTGATGAGAATTTAGCTGCAGTGCTTTACCTGAACACCTACTTAGACAATACCTCACACACTGGAGGAGGAGGAAGCTGTGTGGATCCACTGAGTCTACATATAGCACTTTTATCTTTTAGCCCTCTCCTTTTGCCCCAGGGTAATGACTGCTGCTTGAGAGTGAAGTCATCTCTTGTCATTTCAGTAACAAGGAAAGAAATCAGTGGTAGAATGAAAGTACATCAAAACTTTACAAAAATGAGAGTAACAAATTGTGGACATGGTTTTGGGTTGGACAAATTTTGCTACGATGACATCTCTGGCCATATTAGTCTTAATTTCTTAAGAAATTATAGCTTGTTCTCTTGGTTTCAATTTCTCAAAGATTCCCTGGAAATGAAGTTCCTTTAAAAGTCTGGGGCTGGGCACTGTGAAGCACACTTATAATCCCAGCTGCTTGGGAGGCTGAGGCAAAAGGATTGTGAGTTCAAAGCCAGCCTCATCAATTTATCGAGGTACTAAGCAACTCAGTGAGACGCTGTCTCTAAGTAAAATACAAAAAAGGGCTGGAGATGTGGCTCAATGTTCAAACACCCCTGGGTTCAATCCCTGGTACCAAAAAGTAAAATAAAAAAAAATAAATAAAAATCCCTAGAATATATTTTTCAATAAAAGAACAAAGCATAACTCAGTGTTAGTGACTGAAGAGAAATGTCAAGTAGTAGGTGGGGAAGGAACTTTGATTTTCAGGGTATACGTTCTAAATCTATTACAATGATAAGATGTATTCTGGAAACCTGAATTGATTGTTGTCCTTACCTCAATCACACAGAAAATTATAATCAAAATCATCACCACTACAGTCACAGATATTGCCAAGATGAGTTTGTTGTTATAACCATATCCGGGGACTCCTTTTGTGAGCTAAAAGAAAGAAAAAGAATGATTTTTATTAAGTAAAAAAGAGACTGGAAAGGATGAAAGTTAACTATTCAAAATTTCCATTCTTCCAGGTGAATAGCTTGCAGTTTCTTAAAGAACACACCAAATTTAATATGTTACATCTTATTATCACACATTTTTCTTCCTATTATTTGTTTATCTTGTGTGTTAAGTCCACTTTATTCTCTAATGGAACAAAATGGGGATCACTGTCTTAGGCAAAGTTATGTGGCCAAGACAAGATGTGGACTAGAAGCCCCTGGTCTTCCTGCTTGAATGCTTCAATTGTATACCCTAAATGATGAAAAAGTCTGGGCTTCTTGCTCAATAGTTTCCCTCACCTCACTTGTCTCCTCATGCTCTTTGTTATCACCCTGGGATTCTGTGATATAGTTCTCAGTTTTCCACTGGTCCGTGTCCCATTCAGCCTTGGACACCTTGATTTCTTGCTGCTCACTGAGAAGCTTCATCAGGAGGCCTGTTCTGGAGATGAGCTTGGCACAGGCCAGTTGCACATAGGGTTCAGAGCAGTCCAATTTCAAAGTCCGAATAACATGAGAAATGAGCCTTCTCACGTCATTGTTGGGGATGAGGGACCGAAGTTGCTGGTTTAGCTGAATTTCAAACTGATCACCTGGGGATGCCATCAATGGGTAGGATAAGTCTTCAGGCTTGGGTTGTGAGTCAGTGTTCGAGTTGAGGTATTCCCATTGTGTCTCATTGGTTTGTTGAACAGTTGGCATTATGTTGAAAGGAGTCACAGCAGAATCTACAGCCTCTGCAGCAGCGTTTTCATAGGTTGCATTTTCAGAGGTGGGTTCATCCAACACAGTAATGTTTGCTTCAAAAATAGTTCCTTCAGAAGGAATTTTTGCAGTATTGTTTTCTGCAGGAACACTTTCTATAGGTTCTGAAAGAGCATATAATCCTGAGAAAGGATTCTCCTGAGAATTCAGGTCTCCTAAAGATGAAAAGGCCCCTCGTGGGGGGG